ACCAGTCGGCTAACACCCAGGTACCTACTTACTGCTAGGTGAACGTGGGTAGCAGGTGTCTTAAGAACCCCCCCCCCCCCAATGTTTCCACCGGACAGAGAGCCTCCCAGTTCACTCACGATGCATTACTCTAACAGAGTAAAGATCAAACCAGCGAGTGGCACAACCAATGAGTCGTCCAAACTAGCATTTGCAGCTGTCGTTAGTGGCAGGCTGCAAGTCAAATGTAATGCGATTTTATCGCTCAAAGAGGCCTTTGTTGTCGTCTGTACAGACGACACAGAGGCTGAGAAACTACTTCCCACCACTGCTACTACCACTCTACGAGACCAGGGATTTCTTTGTCTTGACTTCCCAGCACTGAGGGCCAGGAGAACTGTGTTCCTCAAGCAAACTCGACAACCTTATCACTGTACAGGCCACTGAAGAAATCAAGTCATCTATCGAAGCAAAGAACCCTTGGGCCAAGGTGGACTTCATTACTAAAATACCCAATGCTTCATCCATGCTGAAGGTCACCTTCAGTGACGTCAACATGGCAGCCAGAGCTCTCGCTGAGGGCCTGGCTATTCACTACTTCCACATCAACCCAGCCTTCATCGAAGCAGAGATAAATTCCAACATATCTCACAGTGCTATAATTGTTACTCATACTTACACACCACAAATGATTGTCCTACCAAGGACAAGAAGTTCTGCTCCACCTGTGGCCGTGAGGGTCATGACTTCAAGAATTGCACTACTGCTTCACCACCTAAATGCTTGAACTGCAAAAATGACCACCATACTCTTGCTGCCAGGTGCCTACCAGAAGAGACATACTCAAGAAACAACAACAACAAAAGAAACCCAAACCCACAAGCAACCACATATTCTGCTATCGCCAAGCTTCAAGCAGACACTACCAAGATACTACATGCCACGCAAGCTGCTCCCACCACTTCCCCTGCCGACACCTACTGCCGACTCCACCAAGATTCTTTGTTGCATTATGTATGCTCATGTACAGAATGCAGCTGAGCCTGGTTCCTTCAACACCACCATCAATGAACTTTTCAAACTAAATAATATGCCTGGCCTCACATTCCCTGCATCACCACCTTCCACTGAGATCCTAAAATCTACTGCAAATATTACCAGCATCACCGCTGCTCCACCGCTGTCACAACCTCCACTAGACACAGAGATGGACCAATCAGAGACCTCTGAGACGTCGGCAAAACCCACCAATGAGAGTCCACTACCGCTTTCATCCACTGCTAGAGCAACTGACCAGTCGGAAAATCTCGCCTTCACCAGTTCAGCCACCAGCCAAGAAAGCAAAAACACAAGACACTGCGGATGCACCTCACGGTGCCACTGTCACTGACACTGCTGCACCACAACGGGTCCGATATCTGAAGGGTGTATACTTCTACACAAAACCCAAAGGGGTATAAGAACACATGCTGTCTTCAGAAATCCATCATCACCTCCAGGACGGAACAGTCAAGTATACCTACGACCAAACTGCTACATACACCACTGAAGACATGACCAGACTACTCACTGCCAACACCCAACACCTTGTGGAAGTCAAGTACACCTCAAAGAGGAAATTCAGGATGCTTCAGAATAGGGACCTTGAAGACGGTACCCTCGTCTAGCACGACTATCCATGACCATTCACCCAGCACTTTGCTGTCCGCTAAAGCTGGGGTGGGCTCCAATCAACCCTGTAACAGCTGCCTCTGCCGACTGCACTTCTCTTTGGGGAAGTCAGCGCAAGATAGAAGAAGACGACATCCCCCAACCGGAGGGCCAAGAAAGAAGAAAGATGATTATCGTCACCCCCCACCCGGGGGGCCACTGCCGGGTCACCATCTGGAGAAGACCTGGGCCAGAAGACCTGCGAATCACATGAATGAAAATGAACACCAAACCCCGACACTCCACACAGGAGAGCACAGCGGCTAGCACGATTGACACCATGCATTGCCCTTCTAGGGCCCTGGTTGGTGCCAGAGCCCGAGTTTGTACTTACAAGATGAGGGGGGTACTTGTGCTCCTCCCATGGGAGACTTAGGTCTCAGACACTCCCTAGACAGGGAGCCAGTGCCGGGCCACCACTTGGAAGGGCCCGGGCCGGGAAAATACCGGCGAATCTTTAACAACAACAACAATGTTTCCACCCATACCGGGGATCGAACCACGGACCTCAGTGTGTGACCTGAGTGCCCTACTAACCGAGCTACGGGACAGGAAGAACTGTACCAATTTCAACCAATACCGAACCCAGGTGATTTGCACTACGTACAAGAGACATTTGACCTTAGATGGAACTTGACCTTACTTACGAACGACATCTGAACGTGGAAATACGAACTGGTTATAACTGTGACCATAATCTTTAAAGGGATGGAGAGGTAAGCCAGCGGAAGACCTCGGTCAGATGACCAAAAACTCCACCTGCGTGTCATCATCTAAGACCCGCGTCAGGAAACATCTGTTCTGTTTCCTGACGAACTTAATCTAATCTAACTTTTCCTAATCTAACCTAACCTAGCCTAACCCAGCTTTACCTAATCTAACCTAGCCTAACCTAACCTATCCTAACCTAACCTAATCTAACCTAACCTAACCTAACCTTACCTAACCCAACCTAACCTAACCTAACTAACCTAACCTAACCTAACCTAACCTATCCTCACCTAAACCCAACCTAACCTAACCTAACCTAACCTAACCTAACCTAAACCTAACCATACCCATCCTAACCTAACCCAACCTAACCTAACCTAACCTAAACCTAACCTAACCTAACCCAACCTATCCTAACCTAAGTTAACCTAAGTTAACCTAACCTAACCTAACCTAACCTAATCTAACCTAACCTAACTTAACCTAACCTAACGAATCTAAGCAAATCTAATCAAACCTAACCTAAACATGGAAACTGAAGACAACACGATGCAAGTTAGTTATCACCTTTACAAATCCGTCTTGATGTCAACTCAGAATGAGAATTTATCACTCTAGCAATAGGATTATCAAATTCATGGAGAAACGGTAATCCCAGTGGGTTATACACGCCTATGGAATGTGAGGTAATGAGGTTTGAACCGATGTAAATACAAGTTGGTGGTTACATTGTCATACTACACTGCCCATTCCCTTCACTCCCAAGCCACAAGCATCTGTTGAGACTTTAGCCAGTTTCACTTTTAAACCTCCACTAGGAAGAATATTCCATCTCCACTTTATCTCTCCCTCCACTGGGTAGAATATTCCATCTCCACTTTATCTCTCCCTCCACTGGGTAGAATATTCCATCTCCACTCTATCTTATCAGCAACTTTGTGTCAATTCATAAGGTAACTGTCTATAAGCGATTCCCACCGTCGGTACAATATTGGTATTGTAATGGTGTGGGAATAGTATGGGGACAGTATGGGAATGGCATGATACTGGTATGGGAATGGTATGGGAATTGTATAGGGATGGTATGGGAATAGTATGGAAATGATATGGGAATGGTATCGGAATGTTGGTAAGTCATAGATGGTAAAAATAAAGAGTGATTCATAACCTCATACAGACAACTTATGATACATCATACTTAGTATTACCTATAACACTCACACTTCATACATACTACTTGGCATAATCTATCATGTATGATAGATCATACTACTGTATGACAATTTATTGGCAGAAAAAAAGAACATAGACAGGTGATAACCAAAGAAAATAATCAAATATTTGGGAAGCACTGAATTTCAGCCTCCCCTCAAGGCCCTCAAGGCCCTCAAGGCCCTCAAGGCCCTCAAGGCCCTCAAGGAAGGTTCTTTGATGCTGGTGAGGGGCTCTTGATCTAGGGAATTGGATCTGTGCTCTAGTTCCCTGAATTAAACCCGAATACTTCCATATCATCCCTCATATAGGCGCTGTATAATCCTACGGATTTACCGCTTCCCCTTTGATTATAATAATAATGAATTTCAGCCTACTCGCCTCATGTCCCGGCGGATTTTGATAGGCCACAAGTTTCACGTTATTTCCTTTTGCACTTTTTCCTTTTCTGATTACGAGTCTTCAATCGGAAAATTTCATTTGATGGTGTGAATTCCTCTGCTGAACTCATGTGCTGTTTTTATTAGCAATTTGGAGTTGCGGTTTCTCCCACGTAAAAACACATCGCGTCCTCCACATGGAATTTTGTAGATGCTCACTTCTTTTGTGTTTTATTTATTGTTTTCTTGTTATTACTGAAAAATACCCAAAGCAGAGGGAAAAGTAGAATGAAAAAATACGAAGGTTTTAAATCAAGTCGAAAATAAAGTTTTTTATAATAATGGTACAACAAACTGAAAAGGAGATAAATAAACATGTGCAACACCTGCGTATAGAAATAAGTGGTACAAAATACCGATCCGATGGAAAATTTTAACACAAATGCACTACAATGCCATCCTTTATTTATGATTTTGTCGGCAAAGAATCGCATTATTGTGCATTTGACTCTACTTTTCGAAGCCGAGTCATAGAGACATTAATCTGGTCAAGCTGGATCGTCCGTATTACTGAAAATGTCAGTGGCTTTGGCTTTGTTCTTTAACCCCCTTACTCTGCGTTCATTTTTATTCATATTAAGTCGGTTACATAGGTATTTTAGTACATATAAGTAAACTGCACATATAAGTAAATCTGTACATTGTAGGCGTTTCGCCCATCAGTGGATTTATTTTAAACCAATACAGGGAATAATTACGAGAAGGTGGGGTCAGTGACAGTAATTTTTCCATTCCTCTCATCTTTCTCTATTTCTTTGTGTGTTTATTCTCTCCGTCTCTTTCTTGTGTGTCTCATCTCTGCTCTGTGTGTACATCTGTGTGTCTCATCTCTGCTTTATGCGTATATCTGTGTCTCATCTCTGCTTTGTGTGTATATCTGTGTCTCATCACCACCTTTGTGTTTTGTCTTAGTTTTTTTCCTCCGCTCTCTATTTCCATTTATGATTT